AAAAGGATTACAGTTTAGGAAAGAAATTGTTTTGACCAGCAGAGGGCCATAGAGAGCCATTCATTTTACTGGATGTGGCCAACTGCTTCTATCACAACTTTTGTGATACATTTTGTGAATTTATGTATATATAAACATTAGAAAATACATTAAAAAATATAAAATGTTGAAAAGTCACAAAATCTTATTCCACTGAGAGGGAACCATTTTTTAAAACTAAGTTGATTGGGGTCATATTGACCCCAGGGGACGATTGAGGGTTAAGCACATGACTATCAGTACAAACAGAGAACGTAAAGCATAGTACATCATGAAAACACCTTATACATAGTTGCATACTAAATCAGTTCTCTTTATAGATTTGATAAGTGCATAAAAAGAGCACAAAACTGCAGGAGGACTGCCACAAAAACAGACAAAGTAAGGCAACCTAGAAACCACAATGACCTGAATCCCAAACTCAGCCAGCGAGTTTATGTCTATATCAGAGACAGTGAGGTGACACGAAGAAGCTAAATTTATCCATGCGGACTCGCAACTAACACCCTGCTTTGCATAGAGTCAGCCCATCTCTCTGGCTTTATGTGACAAGAAAGAAGCAGAACACAAACAGACTGTCAAACACAACAATCAGTCCCTTATTTTAGAACAAACTTTTGTAGCCCCCAGTCATGCAATGAGGGGTAACCGTTGGGTTCTCACAGGATCCAAAATAAAGATGCCAATTCTCATTACTGTCACACAGAGCAACGCAGCAAGACACTTCCTCAAATCTGTTGTGTAGGTTTACTTACAGATGCACTTGGGAGAAAAAATAACAAATTCAAATCAAGCAACTCAACATACAAACGCAAGCCCAAATTATAACAAACTGAATTTAGGGCCCTGCAGCACTGTGGCAGTGCTTCTGCGATACCCTCTGAATCTGTCTGATAGGGTGAATTGTGCCCTACTTTAAATCAATATTAATTTAAAACACACACACGGTCTACTGGCTGAATATAATTCAACCTCTCCTCTGCATTTGGGTGGCTGATGAAGTCAGAGCAGGCCAGTTATCAAGCATACCAAATGAGATCACAATTACAGTGATTAGCACTGAACTGCCAGCCATTTACTTCCAATTAGAGGCAAATCAGGGTTTAATGAGAGAGACAATGTAGAAAGATGATACAAATCATGAATGTTAATGCAAATTTAAGACTATATCCAGACCTGCTTAAAGTGACGCCGGAGGTCAAGACTCTCAATCTTTCTTATTCATACTGCTTGAAATGTATTATCACTCTCCCAATTTAAACCCTTCGTTCCTACCCATCACATCTCTTCCAGATACGCGTACATCATAAATTTGGCCACTTTGTTATAGAGATGATGTTTTGCGATTAAGAAGCTTCAGTTCACAGTTCATAATATATATATATTTTTTTAACTTTTATAATGTTTTATGATGTTATGAAAATGTCTCTCCCAAAGGGACGACCAGAGACAGGAGTTCTTTCCCAAATGGAGGTGGTCAGAGGGACTGAGGACCAGCGTCCACTTGTGTGGGAATCTTTTTCTAATTAACGTCAAGATTGATGATCACTTGCAAAACTCAGCCGCAGGGTGCAGTTCTCAGACATTTCATTTCATATTAATGGAAAGCCATTTAAGAGGAATCTTTAAATACTTCAGGGTATTATGCGTATTTTAGGGTGTTTATAAATTTTGTAACTTAATTTTAACAGTGATTGTCCTTTTGAAGCTATAAATCAGCATTGAACATGGCATGCAAATTAATCAATGCTAAGTGGAATGCCACAATATCTAATCCATCTAATCCAATTCATGAATAAATTGAGCTTTATTTACACATTTTTGGTTTATAATTACGTTTATTATGCACAAAATGCAAATAATTTATAAAACTCAACCCCCAGTTCAAACAGAAAGGCAATGTATATGATCTATTCTTATTTTAAGCATACACTGTCATTCAAAAATCTGTGAATGAAGTTTCTTATGCTCGCCAAGGTTGCATTGATCAAAAATAAAAATAGTAATACTGTAAAATACTAATATTTGAACTGTTTTCAATTGTAATATATTTTAAAATGTAATTTATCCTTCAGAAATCATTATAAAATGCTGCTCAGAAAATGTTCCATTATTACTAGAAACATGTCTTTTGAAAATCATATTTCCCATGTTACAAAAACAGCATTCTTCCATCTTAGAAACATTGCCAAGCTACGAAACATGTTACCTGTTTCTGATGCAGAAAAGCT